AGCTGAAGTCCCTCGGCCCTTAAAGGGAAAAGGTTACCTACCCCTGACCTAGAGAATACTAGAAAGAGCATATTAATCAAACCCACGAATAATCAAATCCACAAAAGTCAAAGCTGCAAATGTGGTGGGCTGAATGTATTTGAAAACCATTTGTTTTTTCAGTGCCAACAATCCAAGAGCTCCCTTTCCATGTCACTATCAGCCAAGGACCTCTGCACAGTGCAAAGGATTGTGAATAATGCTGCAGATCACACAGTCAATAATACACAACAGCGTGTTATGTGATACAACCAAAGACTAGAAAACCTTCTTTGTGGGAATTCACCATCACCACCAGCATAGCAACTGCAAAAAACTTGGAGCTGCAGTCTGAAGAGAAGCAGACCTTTTCCAAGATCTAGCTACAATACATTATACTTTACATTGGGGCTAAGCACAACAATCAAAGATTTTCCAAAGCTGCTTATACAGCACAGGGGGTCTTCTCACCAAGGAATTCCAGTTTTCTCCCAGGTTTCACAAGAACACAGACTGAGAACCACTGTTTTAAACAAGGTGTACTCACAGCATACTCAGGGTGACAAGACATTCTCCTTTTCCAGGACATGTCCTATATTTCAACCTTCTGTCCAGGAAGAATTTCAAAATCTCCTCCACTTTGAGCATGACTAAGAAGCATGAACTTATATGTCTTTACCTTTTATTTGGTAATGTCCTACATTCTGTGGTGCCTTGTCCTCCTTTGTGGTTAGGACATCTGTTCACTCTGAGCATACTAGCCTTTGCGCGTCTACAGTAGTGTTTCCTAAACTTTGGTCCTCCAGGTGTTTTAGACTTCAGCTCCCAGAAGCTCCATGCAACTTGTCCAACAGTCAGGAATTTTGGGAGCTGAAGTGCAAAACACATGGAAGACCAAAGCTTGGGAGCCACTGTTGTAGACTAAGCTCTTCTTACTTGCCTTTTGCAATGTTGCTGCCTACTCTGTATATATAGTTATAAGGAGAGCTGCCCATCAAAGCATTACATACATTTCTCCTGTAGCTAAATAACACTCAAGCAGCAGGAAAAACTAAGAAAGATGTCACCATGGCAATCACAAGAATGCTGTGGGTGTGCAGGTGGAGAAAGCATTGCTAGTCTGAAGTGTTTTAACCACACATTATAGAAGCATGAAATGATGTGTGAGAAAGGTACAGCTACTTCTTCACATGCTGGCAGGGCCTGTTGTAAACTCTACAACATGTTTTCACCCTGCCCCAAAAAAATTCCAGAACTAGGCACAGCATCATCAAGTGATTAAAACATATGATGACAGTATTCATCTACCCTCCATGTTCTGACTGTATGTTCTAAACACAGAAAAGTGAGACACTGGGTCCAGAACTGATCTTTTTGAGAGTCTAAATGCCAGCATGGCATAGTGCTTTGAGTGTTGGACTGTGACTCTGAAGACCAGGGTTAGATTCCCTGCTTGGTCATGAAATCCACTGGGTGACTGACCTTGGGCGAGTCACATACTCTTAGCCTCAGAGGAAGGCAATGGCAAACCTCCTCTGAACAAATCTTACCCTAAAAAAACCCTATGATATTCTCACCTCAGGGTCACCATAAGTCAGAAATGATTTGAAGGCACACAATAACAACAACAACAAGCTTTTCTTTAAAAAAATGAAAGTTTCTAACCCTCATACATATGAAGACCAAAGGAGTAAGTCTACTGAATGTTGAGGAATTAGAATAGGCCACATTACGGATCCAAATCAGGAACCTTCCACCCAGTTTCTCCCACTATCCTACCCTGCAGCTCCTAAAGCTAAAGCTTATACAATTTGACCCAGACCATGTAACTATTCTGTCAATTATTCCATTCAGGTGTATTGATACCACAGTTTAAATGTTATAATGGGATAAGCAGTATTACACGTCAGACAAATTCTCCCTATGAACATTTTTGCAGGAAAAAGCGGATTTCAGGAGAAGCATTGACATGTTTTCCAAAAGATATTCCCTGACCCCTGTGTATCTTTCAATACCTCTTCATCCTAGCACAGCCATCCAGATTTGTCTATGTGACCAAGTTGCCAAGGGCAAAATAACATCTAGCTCCTAATGGAGACATCGAAATGACATTTGGTGCTGGATTACGATATTGATCAGATTCTAACTTTCTGCTCTCCCCTTGCCAACTGTCTGGGTTTTATTTCAAGAGAATCCCACTGGTTATTGGGTGGGGAAGTGCAAAAGGCAAGAATTGTGACAGCAGAGAGCATTGGAAGTTCAGTGATCATGTAAACGGATGGTCCTTTATATGTCAAATGTCAAGGAGACAATCTCTGTGCTTTGGGCCCAGCTAGAGAAAACCAGCACACAAGGTATGGCAACTATCAAGACTTCCTTTAGGATTCCAGGAGCGTGTGCCATCTGCACACTTGCTGGGCTTTGGACTCTTTCATCTCCTGCCAGTGATTCTGCTCTTCCTCTCCACTACTGTTCTGACCCATGGAGAGCCAGCCGATCATTTCCTTGCGCTTTATGCTCCGGCGGTTGTAGATGGAGATCATCAGCGTGACATCCGACAACTGGAACAAAGCCACCTGGAAGACGAAAGTCTCTCTGTAGACAGGGTTAGGTTGTCCTCGGCGGATGGATGTCTTGCAGCGGGACATCTCCTGGCCAACTGAGTTGAGAAGGCATAGCTTTCCGTAGGTGTCTGCAGGAGAAAGGAAATGTTCTTAAGATGGAAAAATATTCTCATTATTAAAAAGAAATTGCATTATACAGATGACTGCTAAGAAGAGCCTTTCAGTGGTGTGACAAAGATACTTATGTGAATCTAGATTCAGTTCTCTTTTACCAGTCAAGACAAAATCTTAGAATCATGGATCACAATCAGCAAGAAAGTTCCACAGTTTGACAAAATCATGAATGAGAAATAATTTAATTTTATGTTCACAACTGGGTTTGATTTTACTGTTGACATTAGAATCCAATTGGTCCATTTAAATTGGTATTTTATGCACAAAGTTAAATGCTGATCCCCCCCCCACTCCAGATCAGTTTGTTCATCTGCAGGATTATATTGTGTATTCCTACACAACAGGGGGTTTGGACTTCATGTCCCTCAAGGTCTCTTCCAACTCTACGGTCCAAAACACACAGCAGAAATAATCCAGTTTGAGAGAGCTTTAACTGCCCTGGCTCAATGCTAGGGAATTCTGGGAACTATAGTTTTGTAAGACATCTAACCTTTTCTGTCAGAGAACTCTGGTGCCACAATAAACTAAAATTCCCAGGATTCTCTAGCACTGAGCCAGAGCAGTTAAAGTGGTCTCAACTGGATTATTTCTGCAGTGTGTTTTGGACCTATGATTCTATGACTCTATGATTCTATATGTGGATCAATCCAAAAATTAGAAATTAGACATCCTCATCTTCAAATGTGATATTACTTTTGTAGGAGGTGCAAACATTTCTTAGGGGTGTGGGGCATAGAAAAGGTTGGGAACCACTGCCCTAACCAATCTTGGATACTGCCTTAGGCCAATTAGAAGAACGGAATGGTACAAATTTAGAAAAAGTTCAACAGAACATTTATGTTTTAGAAAGGTATTGTGATATTCTTATGCATTTAACCCAGTGGGTTCTGTAGCTATATGACATGAGCTACAGCGCTTAGTTTTCTTAATAACAGGAGCATCTCTCTCTCTATCCTTTGTTGTGCTGTTGTGTGCCTTCAAGTCATTTCCGACTTAGGGTACCCATGTGTTATTTTATATAATATGCTCTCCCTGAGAAACACAAGAATCTCTACCTCTGAAAGTTTGCTTCAGGGATCAAGACATCTACATAACTCAGAATAAAGATGGTCCTGGTTCTCTTCCCCTCATTCATTCATGCTCCCCTAATCATGATGACTGATGTAATTAAAGTAGTCATCTCCAAAATGGTACCCTCCAGATGTGCTGGATTCCCAGAATGCCCCATGATGCAGTACAACACATCTGGAGGACAGGAAGCAGGAATTAGGCCCTTTCATGCATGGTTATGTGTATGTTGTATGTGGAGAAAAAGAAGAAGAAACAGCCATTTTGGAAATGACAATGCAATCTAACTTCTCATTATTTTACTTGTGTTTCATAGAATCACAAAATCATATGATTCTATTAAATGCTTCCTGTGGAAACAGCAATTAGACACTTTTTTGTATGGTTGTGTGTGCTGTATGGGAACAAAGAAACAGAGCCATTTGGGAAATGACAATGTAATCTAAGTTCTCATTATTTTATTTGCATTTAATGGAATCACAGAATTAAATGAGTCTATGGAATGATATGAGATTCTATGAAATGCTTCCTGTGGAAGCCTATTGAAGCAGGGATTAGAAACTTGCTTGTATGGTTCAGTAACTTGTGTAAGGAAAAAAGAAACAGCACCATTTGGGAAATGACAATGGAATCCACTGTAAGTTCTCATTATTTTACCTGTACTGTAGTTCATAGAATCATAATGCCTCTATTAAAAGATATGAGTCTAGAAGTGCTTCCTGTGGAAGCCTGTGGAAGCAGGAATTAGACACTTTCTTGTGTGGTTGCGTGTGTTGTGTAGGAAAAAAAGAAACAGAGACATTTGGGAAATGATAACACAAACTAAGTTCTCATATTTTACTTGTATTTCATAGAATCATAGCATTCTATGAAATGCTACCCATGGAAGCCTATGGAAGTAGGAAATAGACACTTTGTTGTATGGTTATATTTGTTGTGTAAGGAAAACAAACAGAGCCATTTGGGAATTGACAATGCAATCTAAGCTCTCATTGGTTTTTTGTGGGTTTTTCGGGCTATGTGGCCATATTCTCTGTAAGTTCTCATTATTTTACTTGTATTTCATAGAATCATACAATCATATGAATCTATGAAATGCTACCCATGGAAGTATGTGGAAGCAAGAAATAGACACTTTGTTTTATGGTTGTGTGTGTTGTTTGGGGGG